TTAGGATTTATTAGAATTTTTTTTTTTTGGCATAGATTTTATGGTTTATCTTCAAATACACTCTATATTGTATTATTAAAAATTAAAAATTACACCTTTGAAATTGGAAAAAAAATTAGCACAATGCTACTATGCCATTTTTTTTAATTGCATCATATATTTAAGATTTTTTCAAATTGACGATTGCGAATGGTTCATAGTTTTTTCTCGAGAACAAGTTTTCGTGTGAGTGTGAACTAGGGATATAAATGAGTTGAGCAGTTCAGTCAAAGCTTAACTCGAGCTTGATCAACTTCGAGCTTGAGCCGACTCGTTTCATAATTGAGTCGAGCTCAAATTCAAATATTTTAGACTTGTGGTCGTCAAGCCGCTCGCGAACTATATATATATATATATATATATATATATATATATATATATATATATATATATATATATATATATATATATATATATATATATATATATATATATATATCCTGAGCTTGGTCAACTTTGAGCTCGAGTCGGCTCGTTTCATAACCGAGCTGAGCTCGAGCTCCAATTTTCAAGCTCAAACCTATCTATTGTTTATCAAGCTCGAGCTCGAGCTCGGCTTGTTTGCAACTCTAGTGTGAATAGACTTTGATGAAAAAAGTGAGGATTTATATGATCCATCTATTCGAGTATATCAATAGTTAAAGATTTTTTAAAAATAATATAAAAAAGGGTTAAGATTAAGGTCAATTTTATAAATACTACAAACTTGAAAATTTGTAATAATTATAATTAACCACGTATTTTTATAAATTACTATAATCTTCATCAACTACTGATGAATCCTGATGAGTGATTGTAATCCGTCATTACTTTTTCTAAGAGGACAAAGTCCTCACTTCTTATAACAATAATTGTCTCTCTCACACAGATACACATTTTTTCATTTCTACCACAAATGTTAAAAGTTAATACTTTTTTTTTTTCAAAATAAGAAGTTGGTGGATTAATTCCTCAATTTTAGGGTTAAAACTACATATTTTTAGATAATTTTTCCCTAGTTTCAACCATCTCAACAAATTCAATTACAATAAGTCAATCGCACCTAACCGCTCCATCTCCTTAACAACATCACCCTCGCCCACAACCATTCCTCAACAATTCAAGAAACTAGGCATCAGTTGTGAATTACCACGGCTGAAAATTAAATCAAGGAATTTTCGACCACCTGAAAGTGATCTTACATAAGTCGGAAACCCTTGTTCCGACCACTTTTGGACTTTTGGTATCTGGAAAAACCTTTGTCACTATTTCCGATCACCGGACAAGGTGATCGAAAATAGCATCAAATTTTGTAAAGTGGTTGGAAAAATCGGCTACTAGAAAGATTGGCGGAAATTCCCAACTCAGTTTAAAAAATTTAAACTGCCGAATTTTTTTTCGACCACCTTTACTTTGTGGTTGGTAATTCCGACCACTAAGTAAAGGGTGCTCGGAAATTCCGACCTATTTCCCCACCATAATTCTTCGACAAAAAATTGAAAAAATGTAACTTTTTCGACCATTTTTTGGATGGTCGGAAAATCAAAGATATCTCTAGCCGTGTACATAGTTTATTTAATTTAATTAAAACTTAATTAATTAGTTGAATCAATATCTTGGAAATGTTTCGAAAGGAAAAAATAAAAATAAAAGGTTATGTAAACTCGAAAAACTTGAATTGTATATATTCAAAATTCAAAGTATCGGTTACAAGTAGTATGTATCAATCAAGAAGGGGTACAATCTCTGTATATGAGACGTCTTCTGATTCTCTACTAGAAGTATGCCTATTAGATGTGTGCCAAATTTGGAATATGCCAAATTGGAAGAGTGCCGAGTCCAGAGTATGCTGAACTTGAAGTAGTTCCTTGTTCCTTGTTGGAGGTATGCCGAGTTCAGAGTATGCTGAACTTGAAGTATGCCGAACTGGAAGTATGCTGAGCTGGAAGTAGTTCCTTGCTGAAGGGCCTCCGGAATTATGTAGCTTGTTCTTCAATGAAGGGCTAATATGCAGTATTTGTGCTCCCCATTAAAATGACGCGAGTCATTCGCTTCCAGACATTCAAAATGGCTTGCTTAATGGCGACAGGCAGAACATTGAACCTTGGGATCCCTGTGCTTGCGAGCATCTACACTGGATTGAACGTGATATCCCAATCTAATACCCCGGGGCTAGCCAATAGTCGTTTCCCCATTCACTATGTGTATGGATGGTTGTCGCTTTATTTCGACACTCATTTCGCAAAAGACCACACGTCAGCTTCTCCGTTGATGATCGCTTACTCGGGGGAAGGTGGTGCGAGATATTACGGACCAGTGGAGGCTTGTCGCAAGATTTTCAAAGCTGACAGTGTCAACTGGCTTTGTACGACACGCCACTTAACTAAGGATCTTCACTTCCTTGATGACGGGAATGCCCACGACACCGATGACGATTACTTCATGTGTCTCCGTTCTAACTACCTCGTATTACGATGGACAGATGCATGTCTCGCCGAGCCTTACACTCCCCATCGGTTTAGCCGACAATTTGGGTACTATCAGGACGGCAGTTCTGGCATATTGGGCAATGACGAACGTGAATTCACACTTTCGGAGGGTTTCCAACGTTGGCGCCACTTTACACTTAGGGGCTCAGGGTCGCGAGTGACATTCCCCGCGACTCGAGTCACTGTCACTATGAAGAAGTACTTCTCGCGGAGTTACAAGGATTGGTGGGCCCAAGTCCATGGGGACTACCTTGAGCGCAGCATTAATGATTTAGTTCCTGAGTATCCAGCCGATATGCGGCATGAAGCCGGTACCTCCCAGAAAGGCAAACGTCCAGTCCAAGAAAGTAAACCGTCACCCAAGAAGAGAAAGGAAAACATTATTCCACAAAAGGAAGTTGATGTGATACGACAGGACTCGGATGATGAAGATAGCCGCGACCACCACTGGAAACGGCGACGAGACAGACGTTCGCCTTCCCCAGTGGAGGTAAACCACTGTTCTCGCTTATCCCAATTATTATTGATAGCGTTTAGTTTACCCCCCTTTTACTTCTTGACAGGAAAATGTGGCGATACCCGCTAGGGGAGGAGCTGAGTCATCGAATCAAGGGGGGGCTGCAAGCAATCTTGGAGAAAGCGGACACTCAAACAATGCCTCAGCCTCGAACACGCACCAGTCAGGGAATTCCTTCAACGAGCCACGCGTAACTCAGCAAGATAGACCTGAGGTCTCTGTCTTTGATAGAAAAGACCTCGTGCTGGAAGAATTTAAGGTAGTCGTCATAAATGTCTGGAACAAGCTTCGTAAAAAGTTGGACGAAACCTCGGTAGAGCACGTTTCATCCTTGCAAGAGAACTTTACGGATGCTTTTGCAAACCTCCGGAAGTTAGACCTTGACATCTCCCCTTTGGAAACACGGGTTGAAGAGATTTTCACAAAAGCTCAAGCCTTTGATAACCTAAGGTCCACGATTTCTGACAAAACATCAAGCGAGTCCCAGTCTTTATCTTCGGCGAAGGATGAGCTCAAGAATGCAGAAGACGAGTTTAAGAGACTCAAGAAAGATCTATTGGGCCAACATAAGTTGCTTAAGACTGCAAAAGATCGGGAAGAGGAACTGGAGAAAGAACTGAAGTTAGTTCGCGCCACGGTGGAGGAATGCGACACTGTGGTTGCCAAAACGACGGACGACCTGGGCAACGCCAAGACTGCCATTTTGGAGGCTAAGGCTGAGGTCACTCGTATTAAGGAACTAAATGTACTGACGCCAGAGGATGAAGCGAGACTAAAGGAGGCAAAGAGAGGCTTAGAAGCCTGCAAAGACGATATGCTTAGCTTTAGGCTTTTTTGTTGACTGATGCTCTTTGTCCTTTAGTTTCTCTTTTTGATTGCAAGAACTTTTGTCATTTCGTTCTAACTTTTGATAACTAAAAGTTTCTCATTTGTCCGCTGGTCTTCTAGCAATAACATCTTTACTTTGATTTATTGGATGATTGTCTTGATACAATATTCTTGCAACATGAGTTGGATTTGTTTTGTTATGACTGAACTTAGATAATTTGATTTCTAAGCTGCCTACGTACTCCTATGAAGGAGATCAAGTCAAACGTAGTTCAACTGATTTTGTTTTTATAAAGTAGAGCCGTTCACAGTTTAGACTCATGCGGGCCAGGAGCGTCTATGATTTGGGCCCACCCATAGACAAAGCGAGATGCATTAGCAGTTTAACCACGTGCTGCATTTTTGGTGGATGAGTCATTCATCATATCTTCATGACTTGTGTTGACACCCCAAGTTTAAGGGTGGTAAAGCTTTAGGAACCTTCCATTAATTGGACCAATCTTCAAGCCATCTTCACTAATCAGCTTATAAGCCCCGCCGGTGTAAACTTCTAAAATCACGTAGGGACCATCCCACCTTGAAGTGAACTTGTGGCCGGTTTTTCTCGTGACAATGATGGGCCTGCGAACAGCTACGACTTTGTCCCCAATTTGAAAGGAACGGGTCCTAACCCTTTTGTTAAAAGCTCTGGACATGCGAGCTTGATAGCACTCCAAGCTTTGTTGCGCTTGCAGACGTTTTTCATCCAAGGTTTCCAACTCAACCAAGCGTAACTTAGCATTTTCTTCATCAGTAAGGCCCTCTTGTATACCCAACCTTAAAGAAGGTATTTGGCGCTCTAGAGGCAAGACCGCTTCCACACCATACACTAAAGAATATGGGGTGCTTTGAGTAGGTGTGCGGTACGTGGTTCTATACGCCCACAAAGCTTCTTCCATTCTGTCATGCCAGTCTCTTTTTGATTTTGAGACCACTTTCTTCAGCAAATTGCATAGGGTCTTATTAAAAGCTTCAGCAAGCCCATTCGCAGCTGCATAGTAAGCTGATGAGTTTCGCTGCTTAAAGTCAAAAAGCTTACAGGCCTTGTTCATCAACTTGTTGTCAAAGGGCTTCCCGTTATCTGTTAAGATATATCGCGGGATACCAAATCAATAGACGATGTGGACACGGAGAAAGTCTGCAACATTTTCTTTCTTCACCTCCTTTAATGCGACGGCCTCTGCCCATTTTGAAAAGTAGTCAGTGGCAGCTAGTATGTATGCATGCCCTGCAGATGACTTAGGCGTAATTGGGCCAACCACATCAAGTCCCCAAGCATCAAATGGCCCAGATGCAACTGTTGGGTGTAGAGGTTCTGGTGGCTGATGAATAAAGTTTGCATGATATTGACAAGCTTGGCACCTTCGAGCATAGTCTATGCAATCCTTTACCATTGTAGGCCAATAATATCCCATTCGCTTAATGTGGAAGTGCAACTTGGGACCGGATTGATGTGCACCGCAAACCCCAGAATGAGCTTCTTGCATAGCTTGTAAAGCTTCCTCTTCCCCTAGACATCGGAGAAATATTCCATCAAAGGAACGACGATACAATGTCTCTTTATAGTAGATGAAGCGAGGAGTTCGACGCTTTATATCCACCCGTTTACGGGGATCTTCAGGTAACTTTCCATCAGTGAGGTAGTCAATTAACGGTTGCCTCCAGTCGTCTTTGCCTATATCATAAACTGAGGCAGTAGGGAGTTCAACAGTTTCATCAACTGAGCCGTCTTCACTGAAGATTGGTGGAACTACCCACTTTTGGCATACTCGCACTCGGGCTGCAGGATGAGCAATAGTCGAAGCCAATGCGGCTAAAGCGTCAGCCTGCTTGTTTTCTTTCCTTGGTATATGTTCAATTGTGACATCCCCTAACCATTGCATTAGTATCTTTGCATAGTTGTTATATGGGACTAACTCCGCCTTTTTCACTTCATATAGACCCAACACTTGGTTTATGATCAACTTTGAATCTCCATAAATGTTAATTCTCAGTTGCTTCATGTCAGCCGCTATCTCGAGCCCAAGTATCAATGCTTGATACTCAGCAACGTTGTTTGAACATTGCTCGGTCAAAGTGAATGAATATGGCAACACCTCGCCTTCCGGAGTGACGAAGACAACTCCAGCACCTGCCCCTTCTCTATGCGAAGCTCCATCAAAGTACATCTTCCATGGGGGTAGGATTTCAATGACAAGCACATCTTCATCAGGCAAATCGTCAGACAACTCCCATTCAGCAGGTATCGGGTGGTCTGCTAGGAAATCGGCCAAGGCTTGCCCCTTGACAGACTTTTGCAGCACATATACAATTTCAAACTGTTGAAACAATAAGTACCACCTTGCGAGACGGTCGGAGAGAACGACCTTCGCCATAACATATTTCACCGGGTTCGCTTTGGAAACAAGCCGGATGGTATGAGCCTCGAAGTAGTGCTTAAGTTTTTTGATGGCGAACACAAGTGCCAAACATAGCTTTTCAATTGGGGAGTACTTTAACTCGTTCGGGGTCATCATTCTACTAAGATAGTAGAGAGCATTCTCTTTCCCCTTGTCGTTTTCCTGAGCAAGCAAGGCGCCCACAGAACTGTCTTGGGCGGAGATATAGAGGATTAGTGGGCGACCGTGAACAGGAGCGGTTAGCACAGGCGGCTTCATCAAGTATGACTTGATACTCTCAAATGTGTTCTTGCATGCCTCGTCCCATATGAACGGGATGCCCTTTTTCATCAACCGACTAAAAGGTTGACATCTTCCCGCTAGGTTTGATATGAACCTTCGGATGTAAGCCAACTTCCCTTGTAAGCTTTTAAGCTCATGAAGGTTTCTCGGCTCAGGCATCTTCATTATGGCATCGATTTTTGCTTGCTCGATCTCGATGCCCCTGTGTCGAACAGTAAACCCGAGGAACTTTCCAGCAGCAACCCCAAAAGCACATTTCAGGGGATTCATTTTGAGTTGAAACTTCCGTAGGCGGTCGAAGACTTGCCTTAAATGCACCAAGTGATTTGTGCACCATTTTGACTTCACAACTAGGTCGTCTACATAGCATTCGACCATTTTGTGCAGCATATCATCAAATATTGTCTGCATAGCCCGTTGGTATGTAGCACCTGCATTTTTCAAACCAAAGGGCATTACTTTGTAACAGTAAATGCCTTTCGGCGTTCGGAATACAGTTAAGTCTTCATCTTCCGGCGCCATGCGGATTTGATTGTAATCGGAGGAGCCATCCATGAATGACAGGATCTCACGCCCAGTCACGGCATCTATCATTAACTCCGTGATAGGAAGCGGGAAGTCATCTTTCGGGCATGCCACATTGAGGTCCCGAAAATCTACGCAGACGCGGATCTGGCCGTTCTTCTTGCGCACGGGCACAATACTGGATATCCAGGTTGGATATTTAACTTCACGAATGAAGCCAGCCTCAATAAGCTTATTAACTTCTGTTTCAATCGAGGGAATGAGCTCGGGGCGGAAGCGTCGTTGAGCTTGCTTAACCGGGCGACACCCCTTCTTCACTGCTAAGCGGTGCACAGCTACCTTTGGGTCTAACCCTGGCATCTCCTTGTATGTCCATGCAAAGACATCAATATATTCTTTCAGCAATGTGACATAGATTTCCTCATCTTCATCAGATAGGAGTGCGCTAATGAAGATAGGACGAGGATTTTCAGGAGTTCCCAGATCAACTTATTTTAATTCATCCACTGCGGCCCGTACCCCTTCTTCTAACTCATGGGGTGCCTCTTCTGCATCTTCCCCCTCAATCGGGGTTTCATCACACAAAGTGATATAGAACGACGATGCCACCTCTCCCTGAGTGGTTGGTGGTACGTCATCACTTGAGCCTACGCTTTCCTCATTCTCTTCTTTATGTACACGAGTGTGTACAATGGTCTTCGGTTGGACTTTCAACACTTCACCACATGAAACATGAATATATGTTTCTCGTCTCATCCGGGAAGGAATCATGCTTCTGAGCCTTTTGGGAGGTTCCACTTCAGCAGGAACATTGGCACTGTCTCTAATAACTTGGACAGCTCCAAGTCGATCATGCATCGACTTTCTCTTTAGGGCTTTAGGACTTAACCCCAGTCTATCGAAGACGGAGCGTCGAGAGTCCGCCTTACCGATTCGGTCGAAGACTGACTTCTTTTTGTCTTGCCCATTATCATTGGTAGGAGTGAGGTTTGGGTCATACTCGCTTCCCTCCGCAGAGATACAGTTACTTGTTGCCCTGTTTATAAGAATTCGCACTGGTTTAGGGGGGACATAGCCCAACCCTTTTCGCGTTTGAGATTCTTGGTGATTTGCATTGCCTTTACCACAGGCTTCTGGGATAAGCTTTCCCAACTTCTGTGGCTCGTTGGGGTTATAACCAGCTTTGGCTAGAAGCTTATAAGCGTTAGGGTCGAAACCCTCAGTACGTTTGGCGGGGAATATTTGACCCACTTTATCACCACCTTTCTCTTCGGATGATTTTGCTGCATTTGCTTTGAGTGTATCAATCCTTGCAAGCGTGAAGATGAGTTTTGTGTTGTGTTGATCTCCCTCTACAACTTGTTTTCCCTTTGACTTTGATTGGGAAGGTGGATCATCATTGCTTTCCTCAATATCTTCAACAATAACTTGCCTTTTAATGTTGAACTTTGCATCTGCAAAGTAAGACTCAGCCTCTGTGAAAGGGCTTTCGTCGGCGACAACCTTTTCAACTACGCCGTTCCTTTCAAACATAAGGCATTGATGCCAAGACGAGGGTACCACTCCATTTTCATGTATCCACGGCCTTCCAAGTAACAAGTTATAAGATGTCCTTGCATCTATGACATGGCAGAGGACACCTGAACTCAGGCTTCCAATTCTTAAGTCAAGTCTGATGATGCCAATTGCTCTTTGCCCTCCCTGGTTGAAGCCTTGTATCATTAGATGACTTTGGGCAAGCTCATCTGTAGATATACCAAGGTCCTTCACAGCTCGGAGGGATAGGATGTTGACAGCTGAGCCTTGATCAACCATAATTCTTTTGAGTTTTTGCCCACGGGTGTAGCCTTCAACAAATAATGAGCGATTGTGTGGCGTGCCTCCAAGTAACAAGTCTTCATCCTTGAAGGTAATTTCCGTGGAGTAGGAAGTAGCCTTATGCATTAACACTTCCTCATCCTCGATGTGTTTAGGAGATGAACATTCACCTCCATCTTCTGGCTTGTCATTTGTATTTAGGCAGGAGCTAGAAGTGCCTGCCCCTTGAAGATCAAATCCCTTTGGCATATATTGAGCCAAAGGAACTGGTGCACGTGGCTGTTTGACATGGCCCTTCATCTTTGATTTGCGGGCATGAGTATTTTTTGAGGTTTTCTCAAACCAACTTTTCACTATGTGCTTTTGATGCTTCACAGGCTCAACTTTCTTCTTTCTATGAGTGACAATCACCCATTTTCCTTCGAATGTGTTATCGTTCCGCCGTGGTTCTGAACTTTGACCGACGGCCTGCTTAACAATGAAGGGGAGTGGACGCTTCCGTTGTTTCCCATCTTCCTTTTCAGTTCACAGCGGAGCGAACCGTCCGGGTGTGATCGAGATTTGATTCGAGCTCGCGTTAGCATCAGCGAGCTCAATTTTCCCATCCCTGGCCAGTGCCATTACTTTATCTTTGAAGATAAAACACTTCTCAATCGGATGACCAAGAAGACGATGGTACTTGCAATAGTGTGGATCATCCACCCTTGAAGCTTCCTCAAGACGTTTCATTTCAGGCAACTCAATGAGCCTAAGTTTGAGTAGCTCATCAAACATGGGAGATACATCGGAATCCATGAAAGGATAAGTCTTCTCCTGCCTTTCTTCAATTGTCGGCCTTCTACCACCCCTTGACGGGCCAGAAAATGATCTTGACCTAGGCCTTTCAGTTGCCTTAGTGAAGACTGTCATATGAGTAGCCTTCACATTCATCACTTCTTTCTTTTCCTACTTTGGAAAGGGTTTGTTCCACTTTTTAACTTCTTGTTTTCCAGGTGCATTAGAGGAGCTAGGCAAGTTCAATATGTTGTGTCCTCCGCTGGCTTCGATGCTCAATTCCATGTCGTGAGCACGACTGGATAACTTCTGAAAGGACTTTGGCTTAATCCCTTGTAGGATATAGGAGAGTTCAAAGTCCATGCCTTGGATGCACATCTCAATTGCAGAACTTTGGGATATTCTTTCTTTGCAATTCAGGCATAGTTCCCTCCACCTTTCGATGTAGGTACCGGCGCGTTCACCCTTCCATTGGCGAGTAGTGGTAAGTTCCAAGAAGCTGACCGTTCTCCTTGTGCTATAGAAACGAGTTAAGAACTCACGTTCCATATCATGCTAGCTATCAATGTAGCCGGGCGCAAGGTCAGTGTACCAATCAAACGCAGTTCCATTTAATGAACGGACAAACTGCTTTACCAACAGATCGCCATAAGTCCCTGCATCATTGCATGTCTCCACAAAGTGGGCAATGTGCTGTCGGGGATTTCCCTTGCCATCGAATTGTTGGAACTTAGGAGGTTGATAGCCGTAGGGCATTTTCAACTCCTCAATTCTTTGTGTGTAGGGCTTAGCATAGGAATATGAAGGTTGGCCTTCATCCAACTTGCCTTTGATGGCCCCCATTATGTAGTCCTTCAACTGATGCACTGGTATCATGCCTTCGGTAACTAGAATAGTTTTCTCAGTTGCAGGTAAGTGGGAAGCAGTTTCTCCTACCACATGGCTAACATGAGGTGGTGGTGATTGCTGACCAACCTCTTCTTTCCCTTCAGGTTGCTTTCCTGGAGCACGGCTTCCTTGCTCCTCCATGATGCTTCCTACCCTATTATCGAGGGTGTTAAGCCGTTTTTCTTGATTTTGGAGAGTGACAGCCATTCCTTCCAGAGACTTAGCAATTCTAGCTAATTGCTCCTCCACCGACTCTGTGTTTGTCGCCATGGCCGGCATGACGTTGTAGACATGCGACCACTCAGGTGCAGCCTTCCATAATGGATGTGGCGAGTTACGGGGGAAGTGCTCCCGCTACTAGCGGTCCCTTGCATAGAAGTTGGACTACCACCATCGGTAGCTCCCTTGGGAGAGGGTGGACTTCCAGCAACAGCAATTGCCTTTGAGGCAGCAGGGGCCTTGTCGAGCCTTCGAACCACACGTCGTGCCATGGACTGAGGTTCAGGCACTTGGACCCCCAAATCCTTTGCGCGGTTCCTTGTCAGTGGACCTTGCGTTTTCTGGGTTGTACCAGGGCTAGCTGCAGGCGTAGACTTGGACTTGGTAGCTTGGGCATAGGTCCTCCTGAACATGGGATTGTTCGATGCCATTTGATGCGCAGGTAGAGGTATAGTAGTAGAGAGATGAGAGGCAGAGCTGTCCCACTGGGCGTGCCAAAATATGTAAACGCGAAAAACTTGAATTGTATATATTCAAAATTCAAAGTATCGGTTACAAGTAGTATGTATCAATCAAGAAGGGGTACAATCTCTGTATATGAGACGTCCTCTGATTCTCTACTAGAAGTATGCCTATTAGATGTGTGCCAAATTTGGAATATGCCAAATTGGAAGTGTGCCGAGTCCAGAGTATGCTGAACTTGAAGTAGTTCCTTGTTCCTTGTTTGAGGTATGCCGAGTTCAGAGTATGCTGAACTTGAAGTATGCTGAGTTCGGGAGTATGCCGAACTGGAAGTATGCCGAGTTCGGGAGTATGCCGAACTG